TGGTTTGAATGCATGATGGTTTAGTTGGTTATGAACAGATTTTCATGATTGAGAGGATTCATTAACATTGCGAGATGTTAATTATTACTGTTGTTATTACTACTTTTGTTATTATCATTACTTTTGTTATTATTATTATTAACATTATTATTATATTATTATTATTATTATTATTATTATATTGTTATTATTTATTATTGTTATTATTATTATATTATTATTATTTATTATTTATTATTATTATTATTATTATTATTATTATTATTATATTATTATTATTATTATTATTATTATTATTATTATTATTATTATCATCATCATTGTTAATGTAATTTTTCAAGTGTGAATATTCTTATTGCATTAGTGACCCTTTGAGTTGACTGAGATATGCGCTCTCTGAGTACCTCTAGTTATCATCATTTTTATCAATATCAGTATTATTCATTATCATTATGATTATCGTTAGCGTTATAGTTATTATCATTATTGTTATCATTTTTATCATTATTAATGATATTATTATCATTACTTTTTTGTTGTTGTTATTATTTTCATTATTTGTTTTTGTTGTTATTTTCATAATCATTTTCGATCTTTTTATTAATGTTATCATTAACATTATCATTATCAATATCATTATCATCATTATCATTTTCATTTCTACCATTATCATTATTATCATTCATATTATTATCATAATTATCACCATCACCATTATAATTTTCAATATTATGATTACTATTACTATTATCGTATTTTTATCATCATTGTTATCATCATTATTGTCAATATTATCATTATTATGATCGTTATTGTCAATACTATCATTATTATCATTATTATCATTATCATCAGTATCATTATTAACATCACTGATATAATTCATCCATTCATCATCATTATTGTTATCATCATTATTAATATTATCAGTTATAATAATTATTATCATTATCTGTTATAATTGTTATCATCGTTATCATTATCTTTATTATTACTATGATTATTATTATCATTACTATTATCAATTTTCAATATTATTATGATTAATACCATTATTTAGATTTTTCTTATCATTATTGTTAGTATCAAATTATTGTTCTATAATGTGTGTGATAATGATAATCATGTTATCATAACTTTTATCATCATTATCAGTATTATTTTTACTGTTAAGATCTCAGTTGTCATCATCATCATCGCCATTATTATCAAAGATATCACCACCATTACAATTATCATTATCATTATAATCAGTATCATTAACATTATTAAAGACATCATTAGCATTATCAGGGTTATGACAGCTAATACCATTATCACCAACATGTCATTTTCTGTTCGTCAGTTGAACTATAATGATAGCGAAAAAATGGATAATAATAATGGTAATGATATTGACATTAAAAATGATAATAATGATGATAATAATGATGATGAACAATTGTTAATGATAACAGGAATAGCAGTAGCAACAGCAACAATACCTAAGTATCGATAAAAATGAAAATAATGTTTATGTCAGACATACAGAATGAGAAAAAGAAATGAAGAATGAAAAGGTATATAGATAAGAGAAAGAAAGACATAATGAAAGAGAGAGAGAGAGAGAGTGAATAAACTGATGACCGGGAGAGCGACAGAGAGCTGGGTTCGAGCGAAGGGAGATGGACCGCCGTCTGTAGCGCCACCAGGGCTTCCCGCGCTTCTCCCAGAATTCGAATCCGTTGCGTGGCGGCAGCCCTTCGGAGGCGGGCGCCTTCGAGGCCAAGGCGAGGAAGACTAGATTGTGGAATGGCAGCGAAGGTGTGCCTTCTGGCCTCGGGCGAGAAGGGATACTATTATTAGAGCTTTTATCATTTTTTAATAATGTTTGTATGAACATCTACACGTACTCGTACGCATGAATACACACATATATACGAACAAACGCGCGCGCGCGCACACACACACACACACACATACACGCGCGCGCGCACACAGGTGCACACAAAAAAACACACACAGATTTGTACAAACACATGCACAGACGAAGCGGCAAACGAAAGCAAACACAAACAAGCAAACGTAACACAAAAGGCACACCCAATCTTGCACAAGACATTGACGCAAACAGAATGAAGAAATAAGAAAAGAATTTCAGCAAAAGAATTCGTGTTTCCGGAAATGGTTTCTCACTCCAGATTCCGAGCAGAGAGGCTAAAGTGGAAAATATGTTCAGAGAGAAAAGATAAAGAGAAAGCATATCATTTTGAACAAGAAGGAGCAATCTTTTGGGGAAATGAATGAAATGCACAAAACCTTTACAGAGAGTTCACTGATAATGATGATAATACTAATGATTACCATAATAATGTAATACCTGGTAATGATAATAATAATAATGACAATGACAATAATAATCATTAGAAAAATACTACTACTACTCCTGCTACTAGTAGTAGGAATACTACTAAAGGTAATGAAAATAATGGTAACTGTAACAACAGTAATAAGAATAATGGTGATATTAGCGATAGTGATAATATCATTATCATTAACAATGATATCAATAAAAGAATCATAATTTTGATAATTATAACGATAATAACACTAATAATGTTATTGCTTAAAAAATTATGTGTCTATAGTAAGTGTAAAAAATGATGATAATGATAATAATATTGATTACAAAAATAATCATATTAATTATGATAGAAATAATAATAGTAATAATAATGATGATAATAAAAAAGATATGATGATAGTAATAATAATAGTAATGATAATGATAATAATGATAACAATAATAAAAATTATAATAATAATAATGAATGATAATGACAATATGAATGATTATGATAATATTAATGATAATGATTATGATAAAGATAACAACAATACTGACAATCCTGATAATGGCAATGATGCTGATAAAACATCATTGCCATCGCTGTGTCTCTTCGGCGACATTTCCCCGCGTATTCCTGCTGCCAGATGTGGAATCATCCATTTGATTGAGTCCTTTATTCACCTGCACAGGCGTGGGCAAGCTGTGGTACATCTGATGCGTGGTCAAAGCATTATAGAATGGTATTACATTGGAAATTTAGGCTACGACATTATCACGATCTGTAATAAAAAGAACAATCTATCTACTCGTCTACCAAGTCGGCGTACGGCTTGGGCGTGGAAAGGCAATGTAACATATGATATGTGGTCATGTGGTACTGCATTCCAAATTTAGGATACGACATAAGTATATCTTCCAAGACATCAGATGATGTGAAGTAGTTGCATAGTTCCCCATATTTCAGGCTAGGTGGTCTGAAAGGCTGTGTTACTCTGAGATATAATGCACAATTGCATAATTGCATAATTTACGCAGTTTCTTCAACATAAAAGACTGTACTGACTTGCCAATACAATTTATATCCCGGCCTGATTCTTGCGGTCACAATATCACACTGTTTTGTTTTTGTTTTGAATAAACCATAGATGAATACATCTTGCATAAACCGGCCATAGTGCTTTATGCTACAGCTTTAAGACCGTTGAGAATGAATCGAGTCAAGTCTTCTTTGAAGGAAGTTTTAATGGTGTGTGAAATCCTAGCAAAATCTATATCCACACTTTGCTTGTCACATGCCGGTTTTTCTAGATGGTCAGCATGATTATGCCTGGCGATTCCAAAATGCGATGGTATCCACACAAAACGTATATCATGGCCTCGTTCTTTTGCACGATACGCGTTTACCCTGATGTCATTTGCAATATTTCCTGCAGCTTTGTCTAGTGTGTTCAAAGCCTGGAGAGCACTCTGTGAGTCGCAGAAAATTCCCCCTGAGGCGTGATGTAATAGAAATTCGGTGGCTATGAGCAGTCCTGCCAACTCAGTTTGCGTAGTGCTAGCCCAGTCATGAACCCGCCTACAATCCTGGTGCTGCAAGATATTGTTTTTATATACGACAAAAGCGCACCCTGCTCTACTCCCAGACTGCAAGGATCCATAAGTGTAGCATTCATACGCATTGGACACAGTTTCAAAATGCTCATGGATAATTGCCAAAGTATACTGCTTAAGTACAGCAGGGGGAACACTGTCCTTTTCGGGGGCAGCCGTTTAAAATACACTTAGGTCCGACATTTTCCACGGTGGAGCAGAACGTCCATGTAGGGTCTTAGTTATGGATATGTTCAGGTGAGACAAGTGCTTACATGTTACTTGCAGCCATGGATTTGAGTTTGAATCGATGTTGCCATTCAAAGTTAGCTCCACTATTCGATATTTTAGTTGTCTTTGGAACTCTGTACAGAAGGGGTTCTCTCATTGCTTTTCGAGACCGACATAATCTTTCCTTGGTGCCAGTGATGTCTTACCGGCGTCGGCGGACTTTCCTTTATTCTTTTCCGTTTTCGACTTCACTAATGTGAAGCCGTCACCTCCTTCGTCAGCGTCACCCACCTGGGCGGCGGCAGCGCCGTCATTTCGTCCTCCAGCACGTGCCCCTTGCATGGCGATGGCTCCAGTGGGGCTGCCCACTGAGCTGCACATGAAGCGCACTCTTCAGCCGTGAGGGGGGGGGGCAGTTATCCACCGTGTCCTCCCCCTCAGCGTTTACCATCGAGGGCATGACGGCGGCGCCTGGCGAATGGCTCGCCCGCCTCGTGACAGGTCAATCATGGCGCTCGGGACAACGGGCCCTTACTTCTAACGGCCACCAACACAGCACGGCACTCGGTGTGAGGTCACGCACGAGTGTCCGTGTTAAATCATGATGGCGTAAACAGGCGTTTCGTGACGAGATTTTGATCACTTCCCGTCTTTTCCATGAATCATTGTTACTCCTCGTATTTTGTCATGATTATTTCTATTTATAATGATGTGGTTACTGTTATTACCGATGTCATAGTCATCTTTGTCTTGCGGATGTTATGATTCATACGGTATTGTGATGATCTTATCACTGCCGTTGATCCAAGCCTTAACTTTGGCGACATTTTCACTCCTTTATCCTTCACAGCAACCTCCCGCTTCGCCCGAGGACAGAAGCATGGACGGCGATCCCTCCCCGCGAGTCGGACACGGCCCTCACCCGACCCTGAAGGAGGGCCTGGAGGAGGACGACGGACAGCTGGACGATTTACTCTATGGCGCCTACCGAGTCGTGTTGCCCTTGGTGATCGTGGGCGGGATCCTGGTGACGACCCTCAGCCTGGTGGTCCTTACGAGGCCGAGGCTGCGAGCCACGCATGTCAACACGTGAGTACGGCGTCCTCCGAGAAAGGACGGAACGCTTTACAACCTCGTTAACAGCACGTTATCATAGCGTCTTCTAGGAAGGTTCCGCATCTACTCCACATACGTCAACAATGCATTAGTGTGGCGTCCCCGAAGTAAATGCTGAACATTTAAAAACCATGTTAAGAGTACAGCAGCATGGTGTCCCTTTGAAACAAATTATATTATATATGCATATATATATATATATATATATATATATATATATATATATATATATATATATATATATATATATATATATATATATATATATATATATATATATATACATATATATATATATATATATATATATATATACATATATATACATATATATATATATATATATATATATATATATATATATATATATATATATATATATATTATATATATATATAATATATATATATATATATATATATATATATATATATATATATATATATATATATATATATATATATATATATATATATACATATATATATATATATATATATACATATATATATACATGTATATATATATACATGTATATATATACATATATATACACATGTATATATACATGTATATATACACATATACACATATATGCACATGTATATATACACATATATATATACACATATATACATGTATATATACACATATATATATACACATATATACACATATATACACATGTATATATACACATATATATACATGAATATATACACATATATACACATGTATATATACACATATATATACATGTATATATACACATATATACACATGTATATATACACATGTATATATACACATATATACACATGTATATATACACATATATACACATGTATATATACACATACATACACATGTATATATACACATACATACACATGTATATATACATATATATACATGTATATATACACATATATTAATGAAAGATGGAAACAATGCACTAAGCATTTTTATCATGAATATATAACCTCTCTGTTCGGAGATCGATAAAAATGCGGTAGTGCATTGTTTCCATCTTTCATTAATATACCTCAGGTTATCTGATTTGGGGTTTGATCTGCTTTCCATAAGTCCCGAATGCTCACGGGGATTGTGTGTCAAATCTCGCTATACTTACTCAGGTATGAGTAGTTAGATAAAATTCATGGTGCTAGATGGCGCCTGGTTGCACACCCTTTTGATATGTATATATGTATATACATATATGCATATATATGCATATATGATATATGTATATACATATATGTATAATGTATAATATATATATATGTATATACATATATGTAATATATGTATATATATATGTATATACATATATGTATATATGTATATACATATATGTATATATATACATATATGTATATATATATACATATATGTATATATATATGTATATATGTATATACATATATGTATAATACATATATGTATATATATATATATATATATATATATATATATATATACATATACATACATACATACATATATATATATATATATATATATATATATACATATATATATATATACATATATATATATATATATATATACATATATATATATATACATATATATATATAATACATATATATATATAATATATATATATATATATATATATATATATATATATATATAGAGAGAGAGAGAGAGAGAGAGAGAGAGAGAGAGAGAGAGAGAGAGAGAGAGAGAGAGAGAGAGAGAGAGAGTAGCGAGAGAGAGAGAGAGAGCGAGAGAGAGAGAGAGAGAGAGAGAGAGACAGAGAGAGAGAGAGAGAGAGAGAGAGAGAGAGAGAGAGAGAGAGAGAGAGAGAGAGAGAGAGAGAGAGAGAGAGAGAGAGAGAGAGAGAGAGAGAGAGAGAGAGAGAGAGAGAGAGAGAGAGAGAGAGAGAGAGAGAGAGAGAGAGAGAGAGAGAGAGAGAGAGAGAGAGAGAGAGAGAGAGAGAGAGAGAGAGAGAGAGAGAGAGAGAGACATATAAACCGTGGCGAGGGAGGCAGCCAGCACCTTCGCGCGCCCCGCGAGCAGCCCCTAACGGCCTCCCTTCCTCCTCCAGGTACTTCCTGCTGCTGGCGTCGGCCGACCTCGTCATCTTCGTGGTGAGCGTCGCCACCGTCGTCACGCTCAACGGCTGCGAGCTCTTCTCCTACGCCTTCGCCCTCTACTTCGCCCACTTCTTCTTCACGCTCTTCTACATCGTGCAGACGTTCAGCATG